ATTTGATAGAATGAGAATTTGACGTTAACTGTTGAATGAAATGAATGAGAGATTAGCAAAGGAAAACACTTTTGGTGATAAAAGCTATGAGAGCGATTGTGACAGCAAGAAAAAGAATGAGAGCTCTGTTAAAACAAATGAAAACAAATGAAACTTCATCTCTTTTCATCAATGCCGAAGAATTATTGGAATTAAAAATATATTCAGTTTTCCAAAAAGAAATCCTCATTTCACTGCTCCCATTGCCATTATACGCTGACTGGAACAGCATCTGAAATTTGCGAAATAAGCACTTTTGAATATATATCCCTGAGTACTAATCGAATGTATCCCTGAGTACTAATCGAATGTAATACACAATTCAGGAGACGAAGTTCGACGAGTGAGCCGTTCGGTAGGACGTTGAATGTTCTGGAGGAGAGACGCCGTAACAGTTTCACAACAACTGGATCGACGATACGATGTCGTGATCGAAAACATCGATTGGACAGAAATCGGTAATTGTTGTCTTGCTGATGAATTAGAACGAACTCGAAATCGCCTTCAAAATACATTTCAGACAGTCATAATCGAACACGGATAGAACCACAAAATTCGCTTACCACTAGCGATACGTTTCACTGTTCGGATGGTTACTTCAATCAGCTGTATGATAGCTTGAATTAAGTGAATAATCCACTAACACTGAGCTGACGATTAGGCCATGAAAGTCGTTTCCGCTGCATCAATAGTAATGATTCAACAGTGAGGCAAATGAATCAATAGTTGAGTAAAGGTATTTGGACGAATGAGAGAGGGTTATCGTCATACGCTGACTGAAACAGCATCTGAAATTTGCGAAATAAGCACTTTTGAATATACATCCCCTAACACATGCAAAAAGACATGATGATCTCATCAGTAACGCTAAACATCCATTTACACATGACGATATTCGTTTATCCTTCTCTGTTCCATTCCATAAGAATAGGTAACGATCACTTCATTATCTCTATAAATAATATACGGCAAACGAAACCTATTTCATTGCCACATTCCAGGAGTGATCCATCCTTGTCGAACTCGTCTGAAATGTTATCAACTCGTGGTACTCGCAACGGCTCACTTGCCGCATCACAAGGAATATCGACAAGTCAAGAACTCGCCAAACAGTTTTTTCCTGAGGTGCATTTCGGTCTAGTTGATATTTTGACGTTTATTAGCTCACAAAATACTTCACATGATTTATCCATCTCTCATTGTCACATGCTTGATAGCCTCCTTAGCAATTGATATCATTTCTAGGCTTTGGGGAGCTCGAATTTTATCGAGAAAAACGGTCATATCAGTTTTATGGTGGTTCTGAAAGCAGTGAATTTGGTGGTGGAACGTTGCTCAGCGATACGAATTTGTGAGATGGCGTTGAATGTTTGTGAAACTCTTTTGGCGATGCCAGCAATTGAGCATCAACAGTTCTTCGAGGAAATGATCAAAACAATCTTGAGGTGATCACTATTCTTAATCTTATTATCATATTTCCCTCAGCTGTTCACGTATAAGTAAGCATTTGATGGAACAAGTGGATTGATAGCGATAATGTAGCCATGTTACTAGCTACATTGATAATGATGATAACCATTGCAATATTTTTACAGATTTCTTCAATTTTCAAAAATTTTTAAATAATATTCAATTATTGTTGAGCAT